CTGCCATCAAGTAAGTTTTATATTAATGGTAAATCACTAGCTATATCTCATTATCTAATAAAAGAGTACTATTTACTAATTTAACTTTGCATTCTTAAATGTAAACATGTATTAAATGACTAAAATATGCACAGATTTTCATATACTGTCAAACTATAAACAGTTTTATCTCATTTACTGCTGAGTCAGTTAATAATTATTCATTGAATATCTACTATGTTCTTGGCATGATATTAACCACCTCACCCCCAAAAAATTCACTGTCATTAAATCGAATCTGACTCATAGTGACCTCCATTGGGTTTCCAAGGCCGTACATCTCTATGGAAGAAAACTGCCTCATCTTTCTTCCACACAGTGGCCGGTGGGTCCAAACCACCTACTTTTTGGTTAGCAGCCAAATGCCTGAACCACTACACCACCAGAGCTCCTTCTGGCATGTTAGTAGGTTCTGGGAATTCAGTGAGGAATCGAGTTTCTGCTCTCAAGGATATTACTATTCAAGTGAGTTTTATTATTCTTTCACTGTGAGCACAATAAAGCCACATTCAATCAAAATTCTTGTTAATTCTTTTTGGAAGTTAAAAAATAAGACAAAATAAATCAACAATAAACTTTATTTTGTCACAACTTTGTCTATACTTTCCTTTTTGATCTCTCTCTCTTAATATTCCTTGATCTCATTAATTCCTTGTTTTACTATAGCTCATGAATTGCGTAATTCATATTAGAAAGTTAGCCTTCTTAGTTTTTACCTGACTTAATTCTTGGGTATGGATAAACTTTCCCAATATAGTTTCAAGCTATTTTATTCATGGAAATAAAATGAACACCCATTATTGCATGCTTAGGACATACCTAACACTGTGCTGAGTGTTACAAAAAGCTACAAATGATTCTCATTCCTAGTTGGGACTCTGCTTTCACAACTAAATTAACCTTATTTGCTTCATCTTGCTCTTTCTTTTCTTTATGAAATTGGATATGCATAGATATATTATAATCGTAGGAAAACCATATCATATCTTTATCCTCACACTCTTACCTCTTAAACTTCTCATAAGCTCCTTTCCACCAGAATGTCTATATTCAGAGCTCAACCTCTCTGGGGAATGTGATACACCGAAACCAATCACTCACCCCCTTTTCTGCATCCAGTTCTTCTCAGTCTTGCCACCAATTATTTGCACTACCTCTAGGTTATTGACCCCACATGCTTTCTATATACCAGTAACCCTCACTATGCAGATGATGGTAAAATATGTGCAAGATATTAGCATAAAATTGTAAAGTTTTTGGTACACAGCAACTTTCTTTAAGGTGGAATGAATTTTCTATTGCCAAATTTTGAATTAAAGCTTCTTTAATTCAATGCCCTTGCATCTCTGCCTCATCTTGTTAAGAATCACCACTTTTAAGATTATAGGAGGTAATTAATTTTGTTTAATTAAAAGTTTCTGGTCACTGTAAATCACAAGTGACTCCACAGCAATGGGTTTAGTTTAGTTTTATTCTCTGATGCCACTCCTACCTCCCCACGACACAGAGCCAATTAGTCTCACAACTGCTCTATGGACAATGTTGCCCTCTAGTGGCTTGAAACTTTCAAGTTGGTACATGGTCCCTTTTAAAGTATTTATCTTGTATATGCAAAAATTATTAGTTAACTCTTATTAAGTAGTTTATAATCGGAAGGAAGGTTGGGCAATCTACTTCCGTAGCGACACTGCCTTAGAAACCCAAGGAGGGGTTGCTATGAGTCGGGTCCAACTCCACAGCATATAACAACAACAACAGAATTTAAATATTTTAAACATTGTTTTATTTTATTAGTTAGTAAAAATTTTAAATTATAGCCATTATTTTAGGCAGACTTGAATAAGTTAATAGCATATCACAGATGATCGATGTAAAACACTGGGAGATGTATGAGAAAATTCTCCATGGCACAGGAAGAAAATTTAAGCCAGGAGTCTCAAATGACTTACACACAGTTACAAAATGACATAAGTGGTACATCATCAAGGCTACTGGATGGGAAAGCAAATGTGATAACTGGAGGAGATTCTACCCTTTTTCTTTTTCATGTTTTCTACCTTTAATCTTATCTTGAATGTTTCTGATATGCATATGTGTTGTGAAAGAGAATGTTGTGGTGGTTGTTATATGCTGTTGAGTCAGACCCAACTCATAGTGACCCCCTCCTTCAGTTTCCGAGGTGGTATCACTATGGAAGTAGATTGTCCCATCTTTCTTCTGAGGAGTGGCTGGTGGGTTTGAACCGCCAGCCTTCTGGTTAGCAGTCAAGTGCCTTTGGCACTATGCTACCAGAGCTCCTGTAAAGAAAAATAGGGAAAAGGAATGAGAGATTTAAAGCTCATCATTATGTTTTACATTTCCCCATTCAAGTTTTAAAGAAAAAAAAATTGGTTTGGTCTCATCAATCCAATATTATTTTGATGAAACAAAGGCAAAACACCAGTTCTACACAGACAAAACCAAACCTCATACAGTAGTAAGAATGGAATTATTTTTATAACCATGGTATTAGAATAATAATTCCTTTAACAATTATATAACTGCTATTTAGGATTTTTACCTAACAGATCATGCTTAATAACCTCTGTCAAGATGTTGTAACTTAGATGTTCTTTTTCATATGTTAACCTATCATGCCCCCTTGTGACTAATAAAAGGAGGTTTAATGTTTGCCTGATAATAATTATGCCTAAATTTTAGCCATTAAAGCAATGATTTTTATGTATTAGTCTATATTCCTTAAGAAGTCAGCTGTCTACTGAAAGGTCCAGTGGTTGGAGCCCACCCAGTGGCTCTGCAGAAGAAAAGACCTGGCTATCTGCTCCCATTAATGACTTACAGACTAGGCAACCCTAACTGGTAATTCTATTCTGTTCTGTTGGGTCACTGTGAGTCAGAATCAACTCAATAGCACACAACAACAACAAAATATATTCCTTATTGAATTCTTATTTATTTATTATTTATTATATTATTTACTATGCCTATTCATCAAAAATTTACAGTCTACAAAACAAAACACTCTATTATAAGAATTAGCAAGAGAGAACTATATAACCTCAGAAACAAATTCATATTATAAGTCTGACAAGATAAACTCTTCCTCAGCCTTCAATATTGGAAGCTATTGCAAAAACTGTGCATATGTAAAAGAAGAAAACCAGTGAAATTTCTTGAACATCAATGTTGTTGGTGGTTGCTATCAAGTCAGCTTCCACTCATGGAGACCTAAGTAGATAATAATAATTTGTTGAACACTTATTGAATCAGTTCTTAAACCACTTCTGATATTTGAACTTATCTTAGGAGTTGCAGAAACTGTTATTGTTCTCAGAACTAGTATTCAAATAATGTTTATTAGTACTGTGGAAGATGAATAGAAACATACATCAAAGCAATAAAAGAGTTGATCAAACTAATGTGATTTACTGTACTAGATTCCAGGTCCCCAGGGCTGAAATAGAGTCTCATTATTGTGAAAGGTTTGGGGTTAATATTTCACTGGGGTAAACGCCACATGGCATTTAGCTCACAGAGCCCTGAGGCACTTAATAGGAGTTTACAAAACAATTAAGAGTACTGGAGCACAGAGTGAGTTGAAAAAAACAGCATCTCTATATATTCTTCTTCAAAATGCTGAAAATGTCTATATTTTAAGGTTGAAAATGTTTAGTACCCAATAAATCATACTACAACTATTTTGAAAAGGTAAAAGAAAAAATTAAGATATTATTAAACCAAAAATGGAAAACTGAACATTCAAAAAATAAAAATTAATCCCTAATAATTTATCAATGGCTAGTAAGTGATGTTCCAACAAATATCATTTATTCCTGGGAAACAAACAGTATTTTGGCTATCTTTATTCCTGTTTTTTAAATTAAAAAAAAATATATATATATATATGTATATACATGTGTCCTTAGAATACTGCTAGTAATCTAACCTTTAAAACTAATAAATAGAAAAATCAATAGAAAATAAGTTTCTTGCATGCCTCTTTGTATGCTTACTTAAGCTAAAATTGTGAGTATAGATTTCTTGCTCTTCTCAGGAAAAATAGTACTTTTATGGAAATATTTCACTGACAATAAGACCTTTATAAAGGTAACTAGTGTACGAAAAAAAACAAACCTAAAAACATTTAAAAAGATTATGTTAATTGTATTGAGCCTATGAATCCATGAGTATAGAAACTATACTTATATAAACTTTAAAATAAATATTATAAAGTAAATGCAAGCTGTAAGCAAAAATCCAAATAATTTTAAGTTAATTAGAGATATGGTATCATAATAACCTGCTATTTCTTGCCCTGACATCTATAAACTATACCATATATTAAGTAATTGTATTAAAATAATCAGAGGTGTCCAAAGAAAGAAAACTGATGTGAACAGTAGCCTGGTAAGTGGGATAGAAGAAAAGATGCCTTTGAATAGTTCCTAACTTCTGCAAAAATCATAAAACAAAGACATAAATTGTGTTCCTTTTCCAAGGAGCCAAATTGTAAAGTTTTCATAGTTAATATCCATGCAGCTGATGAATTTATATGAAGGGTTTACTGAACAAGGAAGCGATTTAAAAACATCCAAAAGAATAAACACATGAAGCAGATGGTCTTCTGAATCAACACTCCCCAAAGTGAAACAGTTCAGAAGTAAACCATACCATAATTCTTACTGCACAACAGATACAATAATCAATAGCAAAGTATATAAGAAGGAAGCAAGTAAAAAAAGAATTTAAGAGTATAACAAATCACTTAATGTAACAACTTAATTTTCCCTAAGTTTTTTTCTTAAGTTTTTTATCCCGAGTCATTACCATAGATATATTCATATCAGAGCATTTATTTCTGTTCAAATTAAATACAATTTAGTAAATATATCTTTAAAGAATTAATTGATTTTCAACATCACAGACACATGGTTATTATTGTAAGAGCATTGATTACCTACCTTTCTTTCCCCTTAACTTCTTTGATTTCATTTTCTGAGCTCTCTTCATCATTTGCTGAGCAGTAGAAATATCCTTAAAGCCCCTATTAAAAGATTAAATTTAATAAGGGCAAAATAAATACATTTAACCATATATATTTGGGTTATATCATACTAAAATAAACTTGGATTCCTAGTTACCAAAAACCAAACTCCGGGAGTGCTGGTGGCGTAGTGCCTAAGGCATTTGACTGCTAACCAGAAGGCTGACAGATTATTCGTTTCTTAAAAACTGATAAAGGTATTCTTGAAATCTTGAAAAATATGTCATTCAATTTCTTAGTTTTTTAGTATAAAATAGATCACATACCATTCTTCAGAAATTTTTTTTTCTTTTTCAGATTTTAGCAAACTTTTCCCACTGGTCTTTGATTCAGGTGTCCAAGAAAAAGATCTGTTTTCTGATCTGGAAATAGACAAAAAAAGCCCAGCTTTAATTGAATCAACACAAGTATATTAGCACTTTTTAGAACTACAAGCGGTTTATGTGGTCCCAAACATGGAAATAAATCCATTTAAGTTACAGAAAAATCGTTATCTTGAAAAGTAATAAAAGTCTGCCATTAATTTTAAATGTTTACATTTCAATTACTTAAAGCATATTTCAATCTTTTTATAAAAAGGAATGCAGCACTGAATTTTTTATTTTAAACCTTATCTCTCCCTATATACAGTGAAGGTCCACTTTCTTCCAACAATTAATTACACTATTTTACTGCCATTTAGGATTAGTTGCACCTACCTGTCACGTTTTTCTTACACTAAAAACTCCATAAACTCATTCTGATATTTTTCAACATTAAATATTTTCCCATCTTCTAAAAAAAGTAAATTCATACTTATTTTCATCACTTTATTATAATTTTATAGGGAATGTAATATTTTCATCATTTGTAGGTTGATCCTCTAAAAGAATAATTTAGCTTACCTGCTATTAAATTGTGTGTGCCCTGGTGAGAACACGTTTTCTTTCTCATTGCACAGCCATGCCTGAGCTGGATGGCTTGGTAAACTAAGTGAAGTGTCATCATATTTCAAGGTTCCAGACTACTTATCAGAAAAAAAATGCAAGGTTAATAAGCATAGAGTAAATTTTTAAATTCTAGCATTTATACTACATTTACATATATATTACTATGTAGCCTCTTAAAACAATACTCATTACAAAAATTTTAAATTATAATAAAATAAAATAAAATTTAGGAAATACACACATAATATCCTTTGATGTAGTAGCAAGAGGTATGCTTGTTGGTATACTATGCATATACAAAATGATTAATTGCAAAGACTTAAAAAATCTTAGAAAACAAAAACTTCAAAGATTATCAAATAAATAACAGATATTGCAGTTCATTGACCTCTGACTGAGAATCTTCAGCTGTTGCCCTCTTAATGTATCTTTTTGTATTTTTAAAGTGCTGTCAACTAGTGATTTTAGTCTTCTGCCAAATATGCAGCTGAAGCACATCATTTTTTTTTTTTTTTTTTGCTACTGTGAAATAAAGTGTTGAAAGAAATCCAAAATAAAGAAAAAAATTAGAAGCAAATGAAAGGAAAGCTACATGAAAAATTACATCTGGGGATGAGGAAGAAGTCAGAGGCTTCTAAAAGTAATTGTGTTTTTCAAGTCAATAAATTGTATTATTAATCACTGCAGCATAGCATAACCTTAAGAAATGAGCAAAGATTGAGCACTAAGAAGTTTCTGTGACATGTTACCTTTGGCCAGTGCAGCTGGTTTGGTAGAAGCTGTGTTTGTGAAGGGAAGTGGGTAGAATCTAAAGTTAGCCATTCTTCCTCTAAGGCAGCCTACACAAATAATAACATTAAGATGTACACAATTTAGTGTTTAGAACTTTTACAAAATATCTTCCAAATTATCATATATGCTATCAAATATAAGAATGTATCAGAATTTATATTTACAAGAATATCTGCCCTTTGAAATTGTTAGATATTATGCATCTCTTTAACTGAAATGTACTGAAAAATGGGATGGCTTCCCTTTCCCAAGTTCTGGATAAAAGAACTTAAGTGCTGTAAACAAATAAGGGGGGGAAACTGCATGACTCTTTGTTCAGCACATTTAACTGCTTCATAACTATGACTCTGAGCCAACGCCAGACAGAACAAATGAAAAACATATTTTATCTCTTCATATTGCAAAGTATAATATCAACCTGTATTATTTAAAATTACATGTTAATATATTAGATAATAACAGTTTTCTATAAAAACTGCGTATCAGATGGCTTTTCTAAATTTTTTTTCAAATTTTCTTAATAGAAAGTATTTTTTGGCAATAAATAAAAATATAGGAAACATGATTCCTTATATAATCTTCCATATTTAATTCAACTGTTTAAATGACAAAAGTACATATTAAAATATTACTTTTTGAAGTTCCTATTTTAAATCTTTTTTCTCTAAATCTTAAATACATCTCCCTTCCATTTATGGAATTTTCAAATTTATTATATTCTTCTACAATTGTTGTTGTTGTTGTGATGTGCTGTCGAGTCGGCCCCGACTCATAGCGACCCCTCCTTGGGTTTCCGAGGCAGTATCACTATGGAAGTAGGATTGCCCAACCTTCCTTCCGAGGAGTGGCTGGTGGGTTTGAACCGCCAGCCTTCTGGTTAGCAGTCAAGTGCTTTAGCCACTATGCTATCAGAGCTCCTTCTTCTACAATAGAACTCTAATATATCCTAAATTATGCAACACAAGTTATACTAGTGTATAATTGTCTATGGGAGCTCTGGTGGCATAGTGGCTAAAGCACTTGACTGCTAACCAGAAGGCTGGTGGTTCAAACCCACCAGCCACTCCTTGGAAGGAAGGTTGGGCAATCCTACTTCCGTAGTGATACTGCCTCGGAAACCCAAGGAGGGGTCGCTATGAGTCGGGGCCGACTCGATGTCACATAACAACAACAACAACAACATAATTCCCTATGTAGCAGTAAAGGTCCACTTTCTTCCAACAATTAATTACATTATGTTACTACCATTTAGGATTTAGTTGCACCTACCTGTCACATTTACACTGAAAATTTCATAAAATCATTCTGATATTTTTCAACATTAAATATTCTTCCATCTTCTAAAAAAGTAAATTCACACAAGTTATACTAGTGTTGCATAATTTAGGATATGTTTACCTAAATTTTATTTGCCTGCCTTATTTAATAGGGCCTAGAATAAACTTCTATGGTTCTATAATGTTTTTGAATTTTTTACGAAAAAAAGGATAATCACAGAATACCAATTAATCTGTTTTTTTAAAAAATTATATAATGACTAAAGATATTTATGATATAAAAACTAAAATGATTACATTCTGAGGTGATGCAATTTATATAAGCTCAGGGTCCTTTGTTTCATAAGTTTATGAAAGATCATTTAGGAAGGTGGGACTAATACATTCTGATGGCAAGCTAGCAGTGGAATGACAACTTTTCCTTACAGCATTTAGTCTTTGGAAATTTAATCAAACTCATATTATTTAAATATCTATGTGACTAGGACATCTCTCTCAATTGTTAGAAACATTATCAGGTTCCTTTGAGGTAGGGATTATTAACATATATCACAGTTGAAATTAGAAAAAAAAAAAAACCTCAATTACTTTGAAAAATATACAAAGAGTTTAAAAAATAAAACACTGAATGGAAAATATAATAATAAATTGAGAGAATAAGGTTTCTGATGACTAATTACACTCATTTATAATGTATACTTAAAAGTTTTAGCTTAAAAGAACCAGTATCTAGTTTAAGGACTGCTATTTGATGGAAAATTGTGAACAAGATTCAGGGCTCAGATTTTTTTCATACTTTCTTTTTTGTCTGATAAAAGAAAAGGACAATCCAGATCAACCCAAGGGAAGATCAAGGCCAGGATAAATAAATTTTTATGAACTATCGTCAAATTAGTACTCTTAATCTGGTGAAAAGTACTAAAATGAAGAGGTATGAAGAGGACAGTATCACAAAAGTCAATATGCCACCTGATAAGAGGCTGTGGAAATGAAAAGCTCTTGCCAGTTAAGGAGCCTAAATTTTACACTGGTTTTATGTAGACAAGCAACTTTATTATTTTTTTTTTTCTTAAACAGCTGCCCAAACACCTCCTTTCTATATTTTTCTGAGGTTGCAACTGCCTTCTCTATGCAGCAGGACAAGATCCCACAAAGCATGTGACTTCTTTGCCAGATCATAAAGATGTTGATGGGGGGTCTCTTTTTTAGAAAGTCCACATGAAACCTAGGGCAAATGTTAGGTCTTTAAATTAACATGTGAAAATCCACAAAACCTTAAAAATAGTTTTTATTGATTTTGAACATAGGTCAAAAATTTTTTATAAGTTTCCAGAATAATTTTTAACCACTATCTCTTTGAAATTTCTAAAGGTATACAGGTAAAGTTTAATAAAAAATGCTAAAGATGTTTTATTAATTATATAGTTACAACAAAAATATTACCAAGACTACTGATTTATATAAGTTTAAGTTTCTTAATATCAAGTATGTTTGGCAGTACCTAGAATGCTGGAGGAAAAATAATCTCAAAATGCCAGGAGGAACTGGCCAAGAGTTATAAACATTCAACTGTTTCAGAAAACGTATGTTAATATATCATGCTTACTACTGAACATTTATACAAATTTCAGTTATTGCTCAAGAAACCCTTCTGTTTAGATTTTCTTTAATTTACAACTCAGGATCTGGAATAGTTCTGTTTATTATAAAAACTGTATCACTTTTACTTATATATTACACATTAACTTGAACTTGGATAAATTTGTAACTGTGTGTTCACAGTTGAACATTTGATTAGCTACACATATATTTGGCTTTTGATCAGAAAATATTCTATTATAATCCAACTTTAACTAGAAAATAAAGTTATTAGAAAGAGGAGCTACAAATAACTTGCTTAAGTGTATATGTACATGCAAACATTTGCATGCCATCTAATATAATCCTTTCATTGACACAGTAAGACACTAGGACAAGAATTGCTCTAAGCCACAAGTTGGTGGCCTGTAGGTTTCAGAGAATTGCTCACCTTAGAACATTTTGCGGATTTATCAAAAATCATTGTAATTTTTTCACTTTTTTAATTATGGGCCCTTGATGTTGGAAGACAATCTCCTTAAGTATCTCATCTTTCTACACATCCTGTAACAACTTTGTTCCAGATTAGTTTTCAATGATATTTGAATAGCTCGCAGCCTTGGAAAATAATGATAGTGTTTCTCTCTGGTGTAAAACATACCATCATACCTAGACTCATGGGATATCTGTATTTAGCATAGTGCCTAAGGCATTTCACTGCTAACCAGAAGGGTGGTTAGCAGCCACTTTGTGGAAGGAAGACCGGGCAATCTACTTCCATAAAGATTTATCACCTGAGAAAACCAAAGAGGGTTGCTATGAGTTGGAATCAACTTAATGACTAATAAAATGGGCAAGTTCCCCAAACCTCACTTGTCAAATGGAAAAAACAACAAAAACAGTAACAACAACAAAAGCAGTTTCCCTGGCCCCAGTGGAATCTCAGCTATACATGAAAAAATGGGAACTATTCCTGTGAGGGAAAATTTATCCCCTCTACACTGCCTGGACCAAAGCTTCAGGTTCAGTGGGACCCTCAACTCATCCAAGCTAGCATGTTTCAGGGATTTTTCAGCTAAGCTGAAACTGATTGACTCTTGGGCTATTGCCTAATAGTTTGGATTACAACCTTGGAAAATAATGATAGTGTTTCCCTCTGGTGTAAAACATACCATCATACCTAGACTCATGGGATATCTGTATTTAGCATAGTGGAAACTACAGAATAGCAGATTAGAGACACCCTTCTTTGCAACCTCAAAAATTGGAAACAAAGTGTAGTTGCTTACAGAACTGTTTTGGATATACATATAGATGTCTACGGGAGCTCTGGTAGCATAGTGCCTAAAGCACTTGAGTGCTAACCAGAAGGCTGGCGGTTCAAACCCACCAACCAGAAGGCTGGCAGTTCAAACCCACCAGCCACTCCTCGGAAGGAAGGTTGGGCAATCTACTTCCATAGTGATACCGCCTCAGAAACTCAAGGAGGGGTCGCTATGAGTTGGGACCATCTTGACAGCACATCACAACAACAGCAACAATAGATGCCCATGGTAAGTGCCAATTCCCTGATGAGAATGACTGGAGTCTAGACATTAATGGTGTTTGACTCTATGTTTCTGATTCAAAGACTGCCAATGTATGTCAGACTTGAGACACCTGAAAAATGTACCCATTTATCTGCTGGTGGAGGAGGTCTTACCACACAATCATTGCCTTTACCTGTTCCTGTTAATTTGACTACACCACATTACAATCCCTCATCACTACTGACACATTTTTAGTTTACTGATCATCTGACTTGGGCCACACAACTGTGGCCCTGCATCAATTTTCAGTTTTCCATGCCATTTGAAGTCTGATAATTACTATTGTTTTTGCTAGGTGCTGTTGAGTCAGTTCCAACTCATAGTGACCATACGCTAGAACGGAACACTACCTGGTCCTGAGCCATCCTCACTGTCAGTCATTACTATGTTTGAGCCCATTGTTGCAGCAACTGTGTCAATCCATCTTGTTGAAGGTCTTCCTCCATGATCCTTCTCCAGTGACTGGTTCCTCCTGATAACACAGCCAAACTCTGTGAGATAAAGTTTCAGCATCCTCACTTCTAAGGAGCATTTTGGCTATAGTTCCTCCAAGACTGTTTTGTTCATTCTTCTGGCAGTCCATGGTATAGTAGACACTCTTCT